AAAAAAGTATGCATTTTGTGTTTTTTCTTATTAATTCTTGATAGACATGTCTGCCTGATAAGTACAAGAAAAGTCATCCTTTCACTCAGTTTAATAAAACCTCAAGAAACAACATGTTCTTGATAACATAAGGACATTCACTGGGTAGTATGGTAATAACTTCTCAGATGAAATGACCTAGTGCTTGTATGACTGCACAATGTGTTTGTAAATAAATTTGAAAAGTAAGTTTGCTGCTGTAGTGTTTATTGGGTTTGCATTGGCTGTGTTTACAAAGTAGAATTTGTAGGTGTGCTTAGCTTGTTAAAACTTCCTAAATAAAGGAAAGTAAACTGTAAAATAAGCAAAAGCTTTAAAAACTATTTATTCAGCTGGTATTTGTGCCTTAAGTCCAATATTGATATTAGAACATGGGAATAAAACAGAAGCTTTTAATACAGTTCATTTATCTAGAAACTTGGACTAACTAATCCTTCCTCCCACTTGCCCGCAAGTACATCTCTCATCAGTGAACTCTCTGTTTCTAAAACCTCCCAATACACTTTTTATTTCTTTCTCACCCTTCAAGGCTTATAAGGTGGCATGTGTCACTGCTAAACTTGGTAAACTTTGTTTCTACTGATAGCTTTTGATATTGGCAAGTACTTGAAGATAGTTTACTTAATGTAATAAACAGGCTGTATTTAGTGCCCTTTCTGTGATTTCATCTTGTTGCTGTTCAGGGACTGTGTAGTATTTGTAGCTGATAAAGTCAGGCTTTTTTTTTTGCAAGAGGTAGACTAGAAAATATTCTGAAATAAGTATATTCACTTTTTATATGAAAGGTATGTCCAAATAGATTAAAACAGCAGTGTCTTTCAAATAAACTGAAGAGGAATTAAAGTCTTTATGTCATTGAACTTACCTTGGTTTTATCAGTGTTGTGAAAATAATGCATTTCCTTCTGTACTGATTCCTTACCATTTGCACGGATAATCTTAACTTCTTTTAAAGCCACTATGGCACTTACAGAATTGTGTGACAAGTCATACACAAAGAATATCTTGCCAGATTTAAAAGTCATTACAGTAACCAGTTTCTTTTAGGAATTAAAAGTTAATCATACTGAGGCAACAGGGCAAACCTAAATAATTGGCAGGCCAACTACTTGTTTTGGCAAAGTCAGTGGCAAAAACCTCATCATAACATTTTTCTGCAAGTTTTTTCAACTAAGCTGGGCCTTCTTTAGTATCATGCTATGCTAACATCTCTCTCTTTATGGTTTACAAACTCAGTAAAATCAGACATACAAATGAAGATGAAAAATACGTTTGCTGTAGCATTTGCCAGTTGCCCAATGAATATTTATCAGCAAATACATATTATAGACTGAAAAGAATAAAATTGCTTTTGATATGATGGCAACATCTGATGCAAGACATTGTTGTCTTCTACAGCTAAATAAGTTGAATATGAATGGACTTGACAGCATGTATTATGAAACACATTATGGTCTGGAGACTGGGTGTCGCCCTGACAACCAGACGATATTTCCTTAATTAAGTATAATTTTTTCCCTACGTGATCACAAGTGGATTCTGCAGACTCTGGTGAATTAATGGTCTGGCAAATGGATGTAATTCTCCGCTCTAGGTAACTGTCAGCTTCAAACATGTTAAGCTGTCATAGGAAAGCTGCAAATACTTGATTTGTTTTTCCAACTTCTTTTCCTAACATATTAAATGATGTATGTTTAGGGACTAGAATATATGTATTTTCTATTTTAAAATATTTTTACTGTCTCTGAGCAATTTCTTTTGTCCTTGATATATTTTCTCTTCAGTCAATACTTTTTTAATAGTTTATTTGCAAAACCCTTCTTGCTTATTTATTTTCTGAAAGATATTTGCTATCAGATTTTTGCACTGTGTGTCTGGCACTTGTGTTCACTACACTAAATCATAAGACTTCCTTCACTGCTGCCCCTTCTTCATTTCCAGGTACCTGAATTTATACATGGGAATAGCTATCAGTCTGTCACATTTGTAACCACAGCAAGTTCCTCCAACCATACCTTGACAATAAACATCTTTGCAAGGAAAGCTTGGTATTTTAAGGCTCTGGGACATCCTAAATTAATTGCAGCCCCTAATGCTGGCAGTGCAGGGCTGCATGAAGGTGTCGTGTGGCTGTGACCTTCTGCTCAACTCCATCACATGTCAGAAGTGGGAGCTCACCTTGTCTTCCGCAGAAAGCCCTGAGGCAGTTCTCTGTCTCTGAGACAAAGGAGAAAACTTCTCATAGAGGAAACTAAGAACTGTTTATCAGTTGACAACTTCGATTTGTGTGTTTATGGTTTAGTACAGTAAAAATGTTGTTTTGAGGTGTGGGTTGTGCTAAGCATAAAGCTTATAGTTGTTTGCCATAACCAAAAAGTGCAGGTGCATGTCCAAACCCCAGGACCTCATCTGACTGTGTAGTATCCCAAGGGTTAGGAACACACAAGAGCAGCATCATTTTCCTTGGGCATGGTGCTGCTTCAGACTCTTTCAGTAAAGGAGCAGGTTTTTTTTCAGCCAGAAGAGAGGAGTAGCACAAAAGAGAAGAATGTCATGTAAGAAAGAAAGAAGGGATTTTTGAATAAAACAGTAACTGTTATGCTGAGAGCAATTTCATGGTGAAAATGTATGAATATCTTGATCTGTAAGTGTCAACAAGGAGGTTAGCACTGTGGTAGTTTATTAGAATGAGCTAATCAGTGGGTTAATCTATGTAAACCAGTGCAAATTAATATAGCCAGGTGGATTAATCTGTGTAAACCAGTGCAAATTAATATAGCCAAGAAAGAGGCAGAAGTGTTTGCAAGTGTTGCAGGTTCGATACTTGCACACCAACCAGCTTATTTTGTAAACATTTATTTGAAATTGTGACAGATGTTCTGTGGAGGGACTCTTGTCAGTGCATGAAGTGTAATCCGCTATATAACATAAAACAAGCGTGTGTGTATTTCACATGCTGAGGATATTAGAAAAAGGGCTGGTCTTACCTGTTCATTTTCACTGCATGCAAGTAATGAGTTCACTGATACTGCAGAATCTACGTTTCTCAGATAGGATGTGAGTAGACAAAATATTGCTGGACAGTGAGTAAAAATTGATTTGGTAGTTCCCCAGCATTTTTTATTTTTGTCCTTCCCCTTCTTTCCTATAGGCCCTCCCTCAGTACTGGACAGCTGCTGTAAGATCTCCCTGAGCCTTTCCTTTCTCCAGGCTGAACAACTTCAGCTCTCTTAGCCTTGCTTCCTAAGGGAGGTGCTCCAACCCTTTGGTCATCTTTGTGGCTCTCTAGACCTGCTCCAACAGGTCCATGTCTTTTTTACTTTGGGGGCCCCAGAGGTGAACACAGCACTGTAGGTGGGGTCTCACGAGAGCAGAGGGTGAGAATCACTTCCCTGGACCTGCTGGCCATGCGTCTCCTCACGCAGCCCAGAATGCAGTTGGCTTTCTGGGTTGCAAGGGCACATTACCAGCTCATGCTCAATTTTTTGTCAACCAACATCCCCAAGTCCTTCTCTGCAGGACTGCTTTCAATCCACTCATCCCCCAGTCTGTATTTGTGCTTGGGATTGCCCCAACCCTTGTGCAGGACCTTGCGCTTGGCCTTGTTGAACTTCTTGAGGTTGGCATGGTCCCACCTCTCCAGCCTGTCAAAGTCCATCTGGATGGCATCCCTTCCCTCCAGCATGTTGACTGCATTGCTCAGCTTGGTGTCACCGGCAAACTTGCTGAGGGTGCACTTGATCCCACTGTCCATTTCACCAACAAAATTGTTAATACTCAGATTTGTGACTTAAAATTTGAAATCTTTTGCTTCTGATCAGATGCTTGGCAATGCAGTCACATAGCTCTGTATTAGTATGAGACAGACACTTAGAAACAGGTGTGCAGTGGTTTTCAGAACTAGTTTATTTTAAATTCTTGTTTATAGATGGATTTTGTTAGTAATCTAGGTGGAAGAGAAGTCTATTCTCTTTTTTTTAAAACACATTCATTCATAATTTCCACGCTTCGTAGCAAATGTATAACGTGTGCGTACAAACATACCTACACATGCACAAAGTAGAGCTATTATATCATATAAAGAAATAGCTGGAAATACCTCCTTATTTCACTATCTGCAAGAAAAAGAGCAGACCACTCTATTCCTGATTTAATTTCTCTAACCAAACCAGGAAATAACATTTTAGACTATAGAACTGAAGAGAATCAGCGCTTTACTAAGGCATGAGGTTACCAACATGGGACCTTGGGGAATGGGAGGGTAATAATTAAGGAATAGGAATGGCAAAGAAGCTTTCTCCAGAGCTCCTCTGGCATGCGTTTTGTTTTTGTCCAAAGTTTTGTTCTTGCTGTAGTTCATATTCTGTTTGTTATTAATGTCTTTGTGTTTTTCATGCAGAGAAGAAAAAGGCTTTTAAACGTTATGGTTTTTAAATGGGTGTCACTACCGAACTCACTGTCAATAGCTAATCTTACTTAATCATCTATAAAATGTCATGAGTAAGGGTTCTTAATTGAGACTGGAAAAATCCAAGATAATTACCGTAATAGGTTGAAGTTCTCAGAGACTGGGTTTTAGAAGTCAGAGAAAATTGGGGACATATGTATTCTGTCTGTAAGATTGTTCTATATGGGATATGGAAAAATGGAAATGACAGGCATTTTGCAATGTACAGTAGCATTCATCATGGAAAGAACATATGCATTTGTTGGTCAGAAGCAATGAAGTAAAAAACAATGCTTAATTGGAACTGACATAAAATGGCCTCGTTAGCAGTACAAATAATACATGTGTGTAGCTTGGTTGTCAATAGGAACAAAACATATTTCCTCTGACAGATATATTAGTCTTTTTTAAGATTCATGTCAAGTTTTCAGCCAGGTTCACTCATTTAGAGAGTGCTGCTTTTTTTTTTTTTTTTAAAAAAAAAAGTGAAATGTTGAAATTATGTGTGTTTGCAGGGTGCTGTGATAACACCAACAATGGACCACACTATGTCAATGCAGCCAGCAAGCATGATGGGCCCTCTGACCCAACAGATGAACCACCTTTCCTTGGGCACAACAGGAACGGTAAGATCATAGATTATACTATTTGCTTTCTGTATTGCAAAACGTTTATTTCTTGCTGAGTTTCTCAAGGTAATTTATTTCTCTTGGGTTTTCAGCACTTCAACTTTTTGCGATTTAATATTGCTGTGGTTTGCTGGGTTTTTTTCCCTCCATGTCCAGAGATGTCTGGCCCTGTCTGGGCAAACATGTCAAAATGCCTTTCATCATGACCTGAACAGGATGTACTACACAAATAATACCCTCATATCTCTATGTCACATAAACATGTATCTACAGATCTGTTTCTAAAACCATGATACAAGAACAGAAATGACAAAGTAGTGTGAGTAGTAAAGCAATAGGTCAACCATACCAGGAATTATCTGTACTAATTCTCATGGAAATATGGAAGTACTCCTCTCTCAATTTGTGTTTTAATCAGAAATTGCTTGCTTCTCAGTCTAGAAAGTTTTATGCTGTTGGGAAATGGGAGTTCTGGCTTCATGGTAGGATCCACTGCTCTCTTCTGAACCACAGCAGCCAGCCATACATAGTTTGTTCCTGGCTCAGAAATATGACTTTCAGTCAAGGTCAGCTCTGTTTCCAGTGTATTTTATTTAAATATCTGTATTTCAACAGTTATTTTTCTTTAACCTGTGTCAGACTCAACTAACTCCGCCAGTCAGAGAAGGGCAAAAAATACTCTTAATAAAAATAATTAAAACTCTCTGAACAGTTCCTAAAATACGACAGCCTGCACACAATACATGGTGGTTTGGTACATGAATGTGTGCGCACTGAGTGTACCTATATATTTTTACAAAAATGCAGACATAAACGTTACACTTTTATGTCTTTAGCACACATACTCTTTTTGTCATAATTATGGGAAAGATCTATTATGCACCCACAATTTTTTTTTCTGTTTCACCACTGTACTACTTGATGCTAATCTGCAGAAACACAGTTTTCCAGCTTCGTTGTGGGTTTAGTTTTGGTTTCGTTTTTTTTTAAGTTGAGTAGGATACTGAATAAAGTTGCATCTGCACAAAGTTATTTAACCCACTGTAATGAGTTTTCTCTTCCTCTTCCTTATTCACTTCTCTTCTTTTTTCTTATCTGTTGGATTTTATTCTAACTCGTATGTCTTTTTCCCTTCTTTAAAAATCTGTTAAAATCTGAGACTTATGCATTTATTTTTGTCAAAACTTAAATGTGACTGGTTTTGTTTATTCTTATTATTTTAAGTGTTTCCTTCAATAATCAAAAGAATTATATCTCAAAGTTAATGCCGGCATTTTTCCCCTCTGAAGACAAGAAATTGAAGGAAATACTAGAATTTCTGCATGTGTAATTACTATGATTCGAAAGTGTGTTTAAAAATTAAGACAAGGAAATGGAAAATGAATTCTGCTTGTGCTGCTGGGCATCTCCTATGAATTTTTCCTTCTGTCTGTCATTTTCATTTCCATGACGCTTACACTGTCTTCTGTGCTTGTTTTCTTGCAATCTTAATGCAAACTGAAAAATTCCCAGCTAATGTTCTCTTCTGACTTGAGACGACTGTTGCAATGCTCATAGTAACAAAACCTTTTGGGGAGGTAGGGGAAAGACTCTGAAAGGCAGTGAGTGATCTAGTGGGTGATAATAAGATCCTGAATTCATTTTACTGAAACTGAAATAAAATCTTCCCTTCCTTTTCCTAGCTCTTTACACAATCTTATCTTTCAAGGTTACAGCATTCTCTGATAATTTCTTGAAATATATTAAGAGGTGTAGGCTTATGTTTACTGTCTTTAAAACTCCTAATTCATTTACAGAAAACTTAAAGAGCAAAAAACAGTAAATGATTGATGTGTGTTACAATATCCATATGCTTTTCATAAATCTCAAATGACACCCTATTTTATCATATACAGGAGATCTCTTTGTTAAAAGCACCATCGGCATCATATTGAGTTGAAGTGCTCATGCAAAAAGGACAATCATGGCAGTCATCAGGAATTCCTGCAGAGGGAGACCTTAAAGATTTGGGCTCCCAGTAGCAGTTTTGTTGGATGTATCCATCCTGACTTGAAAATGAATCTTCCTGTTCTGTTACAGAAAAAAAAAAAAGTGGGGAAAATGGACAACCTATTTAGAGAAGTGATTTATTTACAGATATTTTTACTTCATTTATTCTGAAGTCTGAATTTCAGTCCAGAGAGCGGAGCACTGAGAGCAGAAAGGCATAACAAATTGAGCCAAGTCAAAACCATGCTACTGTGAGTACCTCAGCAGGAGTAAGTTTTATGGGAGATATAAGATATAAACTATACATTTCTGTTACAAATATATTTTTTAATTTTATCCTTGAAACGGTACAGTAGGGTGCTATAAAGAGCCACCAGCTATCTTTCAAGAAACCAGCCAGATTTTTTAAAGCAAACAAGCCAAAAAGTCACAAACAATTCTTTTCAGTGTTGCCTGTAACTCTGTCCCAATATAGTTTAAAAGCTTGCAGTATGCAAAGCAGTTTTTCTTAAAAGGCTTTCGTACGTTCACTTCCCTAGGTAAACCATTTTGCTAATTAACATAACACATTTTTCAACCAAAATAGAGCTCTATGGTCACTTAAGTGAGAGATGACTTCAAACCCACTTCCAGACTTGCCCAGTTCAAGATGAATGCTGGGCTTCTAAAACATTGCTGCAACAGAAATTCTATTCTCTGGTGAGTAAGCTAGAGAAATTACATAAGGGCCTCGTATCTTGTGGGAATTACTCTGCCTTTTGATGCTTTCTAAAAGATTAAAATGCTCTGTCCAGGCTGGAGCTGTTCCAGAGGGGAGACCCTTCACAGAGGAGCACTCTTTACCCGTTTGGTGAGGCGAGTTGCCTGAGTAAGAGCAGCCTCTGCCAATTCCTGTCTCGACACCAAAAATTGCATTTGAATTTTAATCTCTCAGCCCTGAAGCACACATTAAAACCCATGGGAATTCGGGTGGCAGCCACCTCCATCACTGCCTGTGGCTGATTATTGAATCACCAGCCCAGGGTGGGGGGCAGAGGGGAGCATTTCTGGCTAAATGCTGGTAGGGATGCTCACTTCCAGCTGGGAGCATCCAGTTCAGCAGCAAAACAGAGCAGTTTTCCTACAGCCCCACTCATAGCCAGCTGCCTTCCCCTGGTGCTATGGGAAGCTTTCAGTTACTTTCAGGCCCCAAAAAGCATAAAGAATTTTGTTTAGGAAACCACTTGCCAAGAATAGGAACAAAAAGTTTTCTTTCTCTCCAAAGTCCTGAGTTAGTATGTATTTCATTTTATTTTGTCTTTTTTAACATTCTTAATTCTTATCTATTATTGAACTGTCTGCATAAAATCAGACATCTCTACTATATACTAAGCACTCCTTAATCAGAAGGATGTGCTAAGGCTATCAAGATGCCAGGCCAAGTGACAAGCTGCAAATCCACCTCTATTTGGTTTCAGTGCCCACTTCATGAATGCATACTGCTGCGGCAAATATTTCAGACCAAAGGATGGTATAGGGCACTGGGGAAAGAGGGGAGGTAATGGTCTGCAGTTTGTGGCAACTGGACCCTATGTTCCTGTGCTGTGAGAGATTTTTGCACAGCATTTGCATTTCCCAACTACTGTGCTTTGTGCTTCAATTGATTTCTGCCAGTGAAAATACAGTTTCTAGTACTGATGAACTGAGAGGCAAGTATGCTGCTCTCATCACATTCCCAAATCTGCTCGAAATCTAGAGTTAAGCAGAGAATCTTCCAGAGGAGTGCTTTCTGCCATATTTATATGTATTTTTTCATGCATACCTCTTCACTCAAAAAAGAGAACAAAGCATTTACATGGGTGCACTGGCTGTGGGCAAATATGTAAAGAAAGCCTAAGCTTAAAATATGTCAAGAGTACAACAGAAAGACGATAATTCCAAATATTCTGATTCAAGCTGACAACCCAGCCTCAGCTCCTACAATTGTATTAAAATGAAATTTCAATGCCAGGAGGCATAATGTAAGGACACAGAGCTGGTTTTAACCTTGAAATTTTTCTTTTGTTTACTAGATTGTTATTATTTCTTACAGTAAGTCTTGTTTTTCCCATGTAATATTAATCTACCATTAGGTCTGCTATTAAAAAGTTACCACAGGGAGAGAATAGAGTGAGTCTGTAAGCGTGGCATTGAAAGAGCAGCGTTAGTATGTGTTTAATAATGTATGGAGGCTGGAATTGTTGCATCATCAGCCTGTCATTCAAAATGTTTCCGATACAGCCATTGATCTGACATCTGTTTCATGGTTTAATAAAGTTGTGATTGATGCCTGAGTGGATATAATACAAAAACCTTTAGAAATATAAAAACTGAGCAGTGTGATTGCTGCTTTCAGTCCCTCTTGCTTGCCTTCCTTTTACTTTGGGACTTCCACAATTAGCTGTCAACAGCAATAACCCACCTCCTCAGTGGGAAGATTTGCTCTATTCTTTATCCTGTGCTGCTCCTTCCTGAAGGAAATTTTCTGTTCTGCACTTTCTTGGTCCAGGTTTTCTCTCCTCTCCCTGCTGTTAGCATCCATTTCAGATATCACTTGGGTTCTAGCTTCATCCAGCAGCCTTTCTTAGTCCTTGTTGACAGAGGGGTAATTTCAGAATTTTTTCCCCCTCTGTTTTGGAACTGCCTTGCCATAGGCTTATTTTGTCTTAAACCTTTGAGACCCACACCAATGAGAGGGTGAGTAGAAGTCGGGTTTTGATACTGAAACTGCTAGCTCAACTCTGGTGCTTAATTGTTCTTCACGCTTGCAGGCTGTTCACTCAGCTTTCTGATTTAAAAATGTAGCAGGGAACGTACAAAATAAGCTCTCTATTGCACTTTTTTAAGCAACAACAAAAAAAAAAATACCTAAAAAAAAGTTTCATTGTTCCAGTTACCTCTCTATTAAAAATTCAGCCAAGTGGAAGAACTGCATCGACACAATGTGGGCTTTTGCTGAAACTGCAAACCACCATAACTCAGCTTTCCTG